ATATATGCAAAGCTCACTTCCCTTGTGGTTGTTTGAGCACTCTGGCCCCATTACGCTCTGCGCATGTCTGGATGCGTTGAGTCACCGTGTTGTACCACATGCCTTGGTGATATATATATATATATATATATATATATATATATATATATATATATATATATATATATATATATATATATATATATTGCTGTATATATATATATATATTGCTGTATATAAATATATTGCTGTATATAAATATATTGCTGTATATAAATAATATAACAATTTTCCAGTATCAATGATGATTGTATAAATTGGCAATATATATTTAACTTAATATTTAAATATTGTCAATTTATACAATTATTATGTGTTTCTCTCAAAACGATTCTAGGTTTTGAACACTTTTCATCGCAAATTGCCTGTTAATTAAAAAAAATTGTCTGCATGTTAATCTTTTTTATTATAAACTATAGTCGGTTCTGTTGTAAAGCAGTTTATTAAATAAATTTTCCACGTACCCACTCACTCGCTATATCAGCATATGAATATAAGTATTTACCGGTTTTCAATTGAGTATATGCGAGAACTTACATAACCCAGGCCAAGCAGCGTGCGAATTTCTAAAATGCATGCAATACCTGTACACTTAATGTTAGTTCCCAAGAGTCTGGAGGGGAAACAAAACTATTTCCCTAGGGAGCAGATATTATAAGTGTTTTATTATATAGCAACGAAAAAAAAACAACATTCATACAACAATTGTATTTCATGACAAGAACTCTATAGTGTAAACGAATGGACCTATTCCCTGATGAAGAAAATTTTGATCTAGACAAGAGAAGACAAACATTTCACTACAGCTTGAAAGAGCATCACAAAATTTGTACTATTCCGAAGTTTCGTTGCGAAATGTTGTAAAATGCAGATAATATATAGCCCTGCGAAGTTTGCCGTTTTTCGGTCATTCTGTATTACGCATGGGAAATTGATATTGCGCTTTCTGAAAAAAGGTATCAATTTCAATTGTTCTGGAAATGAGAATTTGATGAAACGTCCCAGGGGTGAAGTCTATGATATGCTCATAGTAAACACAGAAAAAAAAGGTTGGAATCTCCGAACTCGCTTCGAAGATGTGACAAGTGCAATACACCACCTTTTTCCCCATATGGCGCCATCTTGCCTCTTTTATGAGTTACAGGAACAATGTCAATTGCTCCTCAACCGTTATTGAATTGTTTTAACAAGGATCCTACTAATTATATATATACAGGAAAACACTATGGTATTTTAGCGAATCAAAAACCATTGACGATGTTGTTTTTTCTTGTTTTTATTAATTTAAACTTTTCCATCCGTGTACGTGCGTGTGAAAATAGGAATACAAGAGATCGGAAGACATAATTATGCGACTTTCCGCATTCCTCAGAATTCTTGGCTTGCTATCCTAACATCATGTTATATTCGTTGTAGCACGCATTTCATTTCCACTGTATATCACGATGGTTAAAAACACGCCAAGTTTGTCCCTTAGACAACCGCGAGTGGGAATTTCAGAAGTAAGTATTTAAACATCTAATAAGTATATAGGTAATAGTATGGTTTCGAGTGGAATTTTGGAAAAACATGCACGTGTGAGTTTTTTAAAGAAGTGAGTTTAAGATACCCCTGTTTCGGTGTACGGGTACGGGTAGCATGATTTTGGTTAGCAATATTTTCGTCCATGCTTGTATCTTCACTCGCAATTAAGGTGCACATTTTCGCATTATATCATTGTCTATTGCAAGAAAACAGAAAAAGTATGATCGAATTACAGACATCAGTAAAAACTAGTAAACAAAGATGACACTACTCGTACACCGAAACCGGGGTATCATAAACTCACTAGACTATCAAAATTGCACGAATCCGAAGGACGAGTGCAATTTGAAGGCTTTGAAAAACTCACGAGTGTATGTTTTTTCAAATTGCACGAGAAACCATACTATTACTTATTAATAGTATACATGAAAAAATTACGCAGCCACGTGCGTAAGTCACATTTAGAAATTAAGAAACTAAGAAAATTAAGAAATTTGAAAAATAAAAATTAAGAAAATTTAGAAAATTTAAAAAATTTGCACTGCATTTCGTTTTTTTGCACTGTATTTCATTTTTTGGCACTGTATTTCGAAAAAAATTGCACTGCTCTTAGCCAATCAGAATTGAGAATTTTGTTTCATGTCTATTATTAGATATCTAGTTGAATTTAAGTCGATTACAAACGAGCAAGTCTTCTATGAAAAGTTTTTGTATGACACGTTTTATTTGCTCTTCTGCATGGGTAACTTTGTCATGGGTAATTTTTTTTGCTATGACAAGTACTAACACTTGTTCGAAAGCATTATGTTAGCTTTTGAACAAGTAGAAAAAAATTGTCAGGATACAAATATGGTTCGTTTGTGCGGGTCTACAAAGAAATTTGGCAAACATTAAGCAAGCGACGTTCTTGTTGACGTCAGATTGCCGAAGGGGGACTGCATGGATTAAAAACTGTATTCTTATCAGTTTGTGGCAATCTAACCAACCCAGGTTTAATCTTATTTAGGCAAGGCATTTATACTCAGTCAAAAGGAAAGCAAGTTTTGCTTGTTTCGAATTGAAACTATATATACACTGCAATTGCTTGCAGTTTTTATACATGCAGTTACTCTACAGGGTGTATCAAAAAAAGCGCAACCTCGGAATTTCCCAAGAAATCGACATTGTTTTAAAGGCAAAAGATTTTAGGCGCCTGGGAATTTAAAATAGCATAACTGTCAAAATTACTGCACACGCGAGTGCATAAAGCAAAATTTATGCATATTTATTTAATGCACAACAACAGTAATATGATCTATTAGGCCCGTTTCATACGCCGTACTTCACATGTGCCGAATACATTAAAGACAATAGATAATGAGCTGAAATGCCTCATTATCTATTGTTTTTAATGTATTCGGCACATGTGAAGTACGGCGTATGAAACGGGCCCTTAGCAATTCGATTTCAATTCCCAGGGGCCTAAAATCTTTTATGCTTAAGAATTGCAAAGTGATTTCTTAGGAAATTCCGACGTTGCGTTTTTTTTTATACACCCTGTATATATACTCCAGTTTTTAAAGTTTAAGATTTAAAACAATTTTATTCTTTTTTTCTCCAGGTATGGTAGATAGCACTGTTAATCGGTGGTGGATTGTGTATTTATACCAGTTATAATGCCTTACAGTATATACATAACTTTTATTTGTGTAAGGTAGATTCCTATTCGTTATGTTTTGTTATTCCATAACTGTTTAAGGCCTAGCTGTTTCAAACGTCGCGCTTCTCAGGTGCCGAACGCATTAGAAACAATAGATCATTAGGCATTTCAGCCGATTATCTATTGTTTTTAATGCGTTCGGCACATGAGAAGCGCGACGTTTGAAACAGGCCTAATATAAGTAAGTAAGTAAGTAAGTAAATAAATAAATGTTTTGAATATTGGTCGTTTAACTGGAGTATTGACCTTTTGTTTTTCTATCTGTCATATATACGACCGAGAGAGTAGAATAACTGTTATATTATATAGACAACTACTGCATTTACAGACTCTTCAGTATATGGCAATATTTTGACAGTTAGTTTGGGAATCCACAAAATAGTTTTCAACACTCATTTTCTAAATTGATACTTCAAACATTGCTAAAACTTGAAATTTTGATATAAACTGTTTGTTTATATAAATTATATAAATTTTGAGAAAACGAGTGCTTGTTGACTTTACTTCTGTAAAGTTAAAGAGTTTCTGCTTTTAAAAAATTATTATATTCTGTTCATGTTTTTATCTTCGCACTTCGGTATCATTTTATACCTGTAACGAAACAATTGCTGGGAGTTCTTTTATTGTGTTTTTATTCTTGTTAAGGCTATAAAAAGCGAATAACTTGCTGTTTTCTCGTTCGTAAAACTCCGGTGATACTTACACCGCCATCTCGTTTTCTTTACTAGCAGGATATGAGCTAACCAGTGCTTCCATTTTTCCCTACATAGGAAAAATCCAAAAATTGAAGGAAATTGCAAAGTAACTTGTAACTTATACCAGTCACAAGTCTAAAACCAATAAAAATGAACAAAAGAGGTACAGAAGAGTCTCAAAATGCCATTTCCGGCGATTTAGAGACTATAAATTTCAAAATTTGTCGTTCAGCGCCTTGTGCCATTCAACCCCTCCACCATTATCAAGCTTTGCCCCAGGAGGAACTGATTGTACCAATTTTAAGTATGTGGAGCTGATACTTTCATGGAGAGAACTCTTGAAAGCTTGCCCAAATTTTCAGGCAGTGTAATGACCTAGCCTATGCCATACATCATACTCGATTTCTCGTAGGGTCTATATGATACATTTGCCTGAATTTTCTTGATTTTTTTCCACCATTTGGGTGGTAGGGAAATTTTGTGCGGAAAAAGGAATTTTGGAGAATGTGAAACGATTTTTGAACAAGTGCCAGTGGTTGTACATTCAATCGGATGTCAGAATAGCTTATATCCGGTAGTTATCTATATAATAATAGCTATTTTCCAGCGAATGAGCCAATATCGAAGCCTGAGAAGTATAGCTAAGAATAAACCATTCCGCCCAAATATAGTAATTATAAACTTGATTACTTGCATACATTTGCATTTTAAGTAATATAAGGCATTTAATCTGTATCTCGTTTACTACGGCTCGCCTTTTAAATCAGATATAGACTCGGTGCTCATGCTTTGCCTTGCCTTAACTACTCCCCATCTGAGTGATCTGATTAAAGAGTTACAGAATCCAATTTTAATTCCCTAATTTTGTATGAGTAACATAGTTTGTACCTCCTTTGCTGTTGTGAGCAACCTCTCAAAGCCTGGGAACGAGGTTGTGTTGTGAGTCGATCGCGAGAGGTGATATATTTTAAAGGCTTAGGCAATTGCTTTTATTTATTAGTGTTAGTATTTTTTAGCTAGTTGCAGTTCAAGCCTCTAAACAATAGAGAACGTGTCAACCAGCTGTTATCCGAAGTCTTGAGTAAAATAAAAGGCTTGCTGTTACTAGGTAACCATGCATGATTCAGCGAAGGCGCTTTTTAATAAGTCGATTATAAAAGCTTTGCACCCAATATCATTCTTAGCTTTAGTATGTAGTAAGTGGGGTGTGCTGATCATCCTTACTTGCAGCTGAGAGCTAAGCTGAATTACGAGGGACAAGCTCAACCTGATTAGGGGGATAATCCCAACCCACCCTGTCAACATTCCCTGTGGGAGAAAACCGGAGTACCGGGAGACTGAACCCACGACTTTCGGTAGAGCGTTGACTGACTCTTTTCACATAAAGTGTCATGCATGAGTCCGTAGCGAGAATCGAACCCACGATCTCAGAGGTGAAAGGCACTATAACAAACGTACTTGCAGGGAGGTGAGTCCGGGATTGGACGCACCGAGGGTGGCTGGAAGTTTCCCGAACTTACCGAGCGAAGCGAGGTGAGTTCGGGAAACTTCCAGCCACCCGAGGTGCGTCCAATCCCGGACTCACCGAACCTGCAAGTACGTTTGGTTTTTATCCCATACACCGAGCCATACACACATTTGTAGCTCTTCCCGATATATTCGTCGATGTTTTGTGAACATTTTCCCGGCCAAAAAATCACTGGGCAAGAAAATACTTCTTTATCTACGTCTACATTACCTTTACTGCATTTTTTCTTTGGTTTTTCTTCAGTCTCAGTATGTTAGTCGCCGAAAAAAGTTCTTTAAAGTTTAGGTTTATCGCCTAAATCTTGTCCGCCATATTTATTATTGTTATTGCAACGTAAGCAGTTTAGCGGGTGAGCTCGGGCGAAAAGCAGGTGAGTTCGGCAAAAAGCAGGTGAGCTCGACGACAAGCTCACCTGCTCTAAACCAATCAGAAAGCCGCTTTTAACACAGGTATGGGATAATTGCTCTGACGACTTCGTCACCAAAGCCCCGTTGTACAGCCCCGATCAAACGAGGAATAGAGTTGTTGAGATTTACACCGCCAGCTCTTAATCGTCGAGTTCGTGCTGCTTCGTATTTTGATTAGAGGTTGTGCCACTCGTGGTAATAGAGAGTTTGAGCAAGACAACGAAATACGAAGACGAAGGCATACTTGACAATTTTTGCCGTCTGCACATTATCTTATGCATACTGTGTTGGACGTCACTGGTGGTTGCTCAACATGTCTTCCCATGTGTCGCTGTTTATGAATACTGAACATAATTCTTGCCCTGATCAAGAAAAAAACAGCAAGACATGAAACTATATCCCGTCTTTGTCCTTGTGCCTTCGTGCAGAACGAAGTTCACAACGAATTTTGCAAAAATATTCGTTGTGAACGAAGGCAGAAGAACGAAGACGGGATATGGATTCATGTCTCGTTTTATCCTGATCAGGGTAAGGACTTGGGTCAGCATTCATAAACAGCTAGACATTTAGAATGCGCAAGGTAATGTTCAAGACAGGCAAAAATTGTCAACACGTCGTCGTCGTCCGACTTCGTTCTCTTGCTCAAACTCTCTAATAGGGACCTGCTGCACACGAAAGAAACTCGCCTCGCGTGGCGGGTAGCTCGGCATGTTTCTCTCGTGTGCGGATAATTTTCGTGAGGATTTCACCGCCTTGAGAAAAATATACACGAGGCCCACCATGGGGTTATGACCGACAGGCGACATTCCTTAAAAAGAGGCGACAGACTATTTAAAAAAGAGCGACAAACGACGGCTTCTGTCTGGGGAAAAGCGACAAATTGCGATTTGTGTTACGGGTCAAAAGTGTGAGCGATTTTTAAGCCTGCATGGTTTCCATATGGTCGTAACTGTTGCGAACGTGTTGTAGCTTGTAACTGTCAGAGTAGTGATATTTTCTTGTGTTGGTGCAATGTACTCAGGTGAATAAGATGCTTGCGATGTTACTCTGAGTGTATATCCACACCGGGCAGGCTTGAAAAATATGCCTGGCCACGGTGGGAATCGAACCTACGACCTTTGGAATACCAGCCCCATGCTCAGCCAACTGAGCTGCGCGGTCATGTCAGAGTAGTGTTTGCGACCAAATGGAAACTTCTACAAGATCAAGAATATAATTGTGTGAATGGCCGCATCCTCGTTCCCAGAGCTTCTCGGCTGCCTGTCGCAATCTCGTACCCAGAGCCACTCAACGATGACTCTGAGTACGAGATTGCTGCCTGACGTTATCAGGCAGCCGAGAAGCCCTGGGAACGAGGATGGAATGGCCGTCGTCGCGTTGGCGTCGATCCTATGGTCGATCCTGCTTGCTTAGTCAATCAAAGGCCCGTTTATCCACTTGATTTCTGGCGCGATTTTCTTCTTCAGATGGATGAGAACGAGAAGATCGAATCAAATCAAATCAAATTTATTTTTAGCCATAAAGAAATAATATCACACAAAAGAAAGAATAAATATATATTATACTTGGCAAGGGAGCCCAATAGAAACCATAAGGCTTATTAATTTTGGGCTACCTTAATCGTACTATTCATATAAATGGAATAATTCGTGCACAATTGAAGACAAATCCGAATTCATTGGTGTAATTACATATTATAAGCATCTACCTATAGTGACCGTTAATTTATATAATAAATTGGAACTAGTTGTTCAAAGTTAAAAAAAAATATATTACGTGTAATGTCAGAAATAAAAAAAGAGAGATTTAACAAGGGTGGTATATTTATAGGTATAATGAACACTATTATAGAAATTAGGTGTTAGGGATTTAGAGGATAATATGTTAAAGATTAAAAAGATATTCTTTAAGTTTTTTCCGAAAACTAAAAACGGATGAAGCTTCACAGATATCCTGAGGGAGAGAGTTATTAGGTGTTAGGGATTTAGAGGATAATATGTTAAAGATTAAAAAGATATTCTTTAAGCTAGTTTTTTCCGAAAACTAAAAACGGATGAAGCTTCACAGATATCCTGAGGGAGAGAGTTAAAGAATTTAACGCCTTGCTAGCTGATAGAAAATTGTCTAATATTTGTTCTACAGAGAGGAAGAAAGTATAACTTTGAATTACGTGGTAGTAATTGTGCACCTGATTGATATTTTGGAAAAAATTTTCAAAATTGTGCGGTAACAATCGACAGTGAAACTGGTACATGAATTTGCCATTCACAAAGGATGTCCGAGCCGAGGAGGGGAGAAGGGTTTGAAAAATCAGGACAAACTCGGACATAGGGGGGTAGGGGGGTTTTTAGCAATCCGGATGTCCGAAATTTAAAAAAATTCAAAAACAAATTTCTTTTTCCTCTATTTTGAACTCTCCTTCCCATTGTGAAATTGGCATTTTTATGCGGTCAATACTAGATTTTGTTTTAATTAGTAATTTACATGTTTTTGTATTTACATTTTATTATAAAAAAGTTCTAAAAGTAAAAAAAGTTTTTTACTCTTGACATATACAAGGTTGCGTGAGTTTTTGCGAGGCATGGCGGATGTCCGCGGGGAGGGGGGTCACTAATTCGGACAATGCCGGACAAGGGGGGGGGGGAGGGCGGGTCTGAAAATCCATCTTTTGGCCGGACATCCTTTGTGAATGGCCCCTAAATGAAAGAGATAAATTTTATCAAATTTACACCCACACAAGGTTTGGTGTGAGCGTCATATGACGCTTTATATACAATTCTTATCAGACGTTTC